TGCGTTGTTAGGCACGAAAGAATTTTGGATTGGATTGGATTTGAAACACAAAAAAAGAAAACTTAATATTCATTTTACATCTTTTCATTAAATAATATCCAAATCTCAGCTATTATTATACCAGTTGTACTTATCGATCTGCATGGTAAGATGAAGTGACTGTGAACTGACTCTGAATCTTGATGATTAGAGGAATGTAATTTATTCTTTTTTCAGCATTTTAAAGCTAAATTTTAAATCGGTTTTAGAAAATGTAGGCGGAGATAAGAGACGCAGGAGAATATCTTGATGTCTCAGATTTCTTCACACGTTGATTCACGAAGGACTGTCACTGCAGCTGATGGAAGTGACAAATATGATACAGTAAATTAATTGCCGATTTCCTTTAATAATAATGTTCCAAAAATATCTTTGGCCTTTTTTAATGAAAGAATCATTCAGAAGAAGGAGCGAAGGGTCCCGTGTTATTGAGCTCTCTCTATATATATCTCGTAAGCAACTTTCTGAGACCAAAATACTTAAGTATTGAATTCAAATGGGAGAGATATACAAGACGTTGAGATTAATTAAACTAACTACAAACTTCAGAAATTTTGCATTGCTGTTATTTTTAAATGAGTGTTTTTCTCTTGCGCCTATTCTAGATACAAATGGTAACAAAATTTTAATCAAATATAATGCTAATTGAAGTTTTGGCTTAAATTTGAAATAATTAAGAGAAAAGGAATATGAATAAGAAAAGGAAAATGAAGTAATTAAGAGAAAAAGGAATAAGAAAAGGAATACGAAGGAGATAAAATTTACGTTTCTACTTATTTGTCTATTACTATAAGTGGTTAAGTTATAAGGTATTTCTCCCGCCTTCTTGGCATGCCATCGTAGTGTGGTGATCTGCACGCTGGGCGCGTATTCCAGAGGTCTGTGTTTCAATTCCCGGCGAAGGCGTTGCTCATTTTTCATCTCTCCAGTCTCGAAATACCTAATGTCTCTACAGTGGCACCCGAACTAAAAGGGTGGTGGATGATTCTTCACACCCAGAATTTGGCGAATGGGTCTAATAAAACCCCAGTCGTCCTTTAAAAAAGGGGGAGTATATAATGTATTTCTTCCGCCTTCTTACTGTGCCTAATGTCTCTACAAAATTACTTATTTGAATACGGCAAAGCACATGACAGCTATTCGTTTAAAGAAATAGATGCCGTCTTGGAAAATTTCCTAAGGAAAACTAGCTTGTATTCACGTTACACATACACACCCTGAGTACACTAAGCTTGTACACGTTACACACTGAGACATTTCTGCAGCTTTATTTTATCATATCAAAATAAGCAAATAATTAAAACCAATAAAAAAAGATGCGTATTTTGTCGATTTTCGTCAATAAATTTTCATCATCTATCCTAAACTTCCTTATTTTAAATATTAACAATTTTTCATTCGCTGATTTCATAAAATAAACATTTCTTGAGGTATTTTGTGTTAAATCTTAAAAAATTTAATATATTATATGCACTTACTTCCCGATTATATATATATTCTCTGTGCAGTCTTGCTTCAACGTACACTTCATATTATGCCTTATTTTTTCAAGAATCATACTTGAAAAATTCAAAATTTAAATCCCATACTTTTAATGCAAATATTGATTTTTGTTTAACACTCTATGTCAAGTTAGGCTAGGTTATTCGAACATGGCAAAGTATACGAGATTTATCTGCGTGAGAGAAGAAATGTCTTGGTGGAGAACTTTCTAATGGAAATTAGGGTGGGAAACCACAAAAATTAACCATGCAACTAGCCCATTCATCTGGGGTCGAGATCCCAGTACTAAGCAATTTTAACCACTCAGACACTGGTGCAGTGCATTTAATACTTTAAATGGCACCATGTTAAATTTACTAACTTCATAATAAATTTGTTGTGTCAGTAATGAAATAAAAGATAAAGACTTTAAACAGGGATTTTAAATTGTGCAATTTAAACATCCAAATACCATAGAATTTCTTTTATCCGCATCGTTTCCTTCGTTTTAAGAAAGTGTAAATTAATTTTTTTTTTTTTTTTAAATTTACTTACGTGTTTTTTACATCTTCTTTTGCTGATTTTAAGAGATAATGAGTTGAGTACGTGTTCTTATTAACTGTTAAATTAATTCAGATGAATGAGTGTGACATGTTTATTGGCTTAAAAGAAAACAATTTATTGTAAACTAATAAGCAAGTCTTACAGATTCATCATCTTTTATTAAATAATATATCACACAGTAACGACATGACTGCGCATATCATTCGGCAAATATGTAGATTGGAAATGTAAATAGGAAAGAGTTTTGTTTGGTTCGGTTTGATTATGGCAAAGCACACTGAGGCTATCTGCCTAAAGGGAGGATGCCTTCGTGGAGGACTTTCTAAGAGGAACTGGCTCGTATACACGTTACACACGTGGAAAACCACAAAAACGCCGATCCAGGCATACGGTTATTTTAATTAAAAGATATTAATATCTTAAGCAAATAAAGTTAATTTTTTACTTTATTTTAGCGTAGTAAATGTTAAAACAAGTCTGAGCTCAGTGGGCTAAGATTTCTGTAAATTACTTTCATTGCTTTATTTTTATTTAAGTTAGAAGTGTGTTATGTGTTTAGGCAAGTAGAAAAATATAGCTTATTTTCTGTTCAATTTATTTTTATTATTTATTTAATTATTATATAATCTATTATTTTCTGTTCAAAGTAATTTAGTTTTACCAGACATTTACGATAAATATCAATATTTTAACCCCATCATGGTGCACATCATTAATTTGGGCATTTGTCAGTCTCTGCTAACGTCATATTTCTGCATACAAAACTCCACTTTCAAATGCTTTTTCAAAATACTTTAAAATGATTTTTAGATTTGCATCAGCTAATGCAGGGGGAAAAAATATTAAAATTCGTGTTTAGAACCTATAAATTAAATTTTTTGTAATTGTATTTCCATGAAGCCTTTTTTATATCAAAATTTGTCGTATAATAATACCTCTTTTCAGCAATGTAGGAAGAAGCTTCTTAAGAAGATTTAAATCAACAAATAAATAAATAAATAAACTTTTTTCCGTGTAGAATACAAAGCACTTTATATAATCCCTTTCTGTGAGAAAGAAAATGAAAAAGCAAATTTTTAGCTATTTTGGGACACAAAGTGTAGATCTTTTTTCTGGAGATCCGAAATTGCATGTGTAGGTCAAAAGTTCCAGACCCACACCCCCAGTTAGCTGCGAATGTCATACACGTTATCTTGACAATTCAAAAGAGCGTAGTCATGTGTAAATATGTTGCATTTTTGTGTAGGTTGCTTAGAAACCTGATCTGAGATCGAGGATTTTTTTTTTTTAACTTAGAACATACTATCCTTCGTATGTGAAGGACAGACAAGATTTTAGTACTGCGGAATATTTGGATTTAGAAGATTCTCGCCAGTCTGACCTTCCAGTCTGCTGACTTTAAATTTATAAGCAATCTTTTAGTGTTGCGAGTCGCAAATACATATTCTAACGAAAGATAAGCCTTTGTTTCTAGATTTTAGATCATAAAAAATAATAAAAAAAAAGCTCTTACAATAAAAATATGACAGTTTACTTTCTTAATTTTTATTTAAAAACATTTTCAAAATGGTAACACTTCAATTCAAAAGTGTTGAGTTGCGCTTGTCAAGTGGCATTCTACAATTAAAAATCCTTTTCTCTTTAAGATTTTTTTCGGGCATACTATATTTTATACAAACAAAACAGGTATTTTTGTATATATTACTTTTTAAATTTTTAATATAGTTTCTATACTATCAAATACAAATTTTAGGAATTTAAAGAATACCTACCAGAGCATAATTTAATGAACTGATGTGTAAAGTATGTTCTAAAAAATGTAACAAATGTCCATTTTGCTGATCTGTGGAAAAATCTAATGCCCCCCCCCCCAGTTTGATTGTATGAATGTGAATTAGTTTAGTATAGGAAGAAACTGTTAAGAAATATAATTGTTGAGGAGTATAAAGCTTACGTTTAATGATTAAATTGCCTATCAATTAAAAAAAAACATTTCCGCTTCGCTTTTTATTACGTAAACTTTGGTATGATTTTGGCCCAACTTCAGCTGTAATCTGGTTTATCTTTGGTTTTGACCACGTCAGCTTCAATGTGATTCAGATCCAGCTTCGACAATGACCTGGTTCACCTTCGGATTCGACCACATCATCTTCGGTATTATCATATGTTGGAGTTAAATCAAACTTTGCGAGAAATATAATGCCCACAAACTGATCAAAGAAACTTTAATAAACAAAACTGTTGACTGTAAAAATTACATATCCCTGGATGGATAAGCAGTCCAAAAATTAGCGAAATTTAAAGAATGCACATTATCTAGTTTCAAATGGAAGAAGTGAAGGAATTTAGTCCATCTTCCTTTTTCTTTTAGTGTTCCCTTTAATGTGATTCTGGCCCAGCTTCAACTGTGACTTGCTCCAGTTTCATTTTTGCCATATAAGCTTTAGTTTCATTCAGCTGATACTAGATCAAATTGTAAATTTATCATCAACTACTAACAGAAATATAGCCTTTCACGATAATGAGCTTTTTATCCAGAATAAAGAATGAAAGAAATACAGGAATAATTCTTTAGGCATTAAAGCATTTCTTAAAACAATTACATTTCTTAAGAGAATTTCTGAAGACAGTGTAATCAAATTCAATTCTAGCTTAACAAAGCAAATTGTTTATTGACTTTATTAAAATCTTTCATTATGAATTAGATGGTAGCAATTGTGGAAAATTATTATATTAACTGGAAAGTTTTTAAAAAAAAATTACAACCTGCTATTTATAACCTTGATTATTTAATTTTGACCTGTTCCTATATTTTTTTCACTGTTGTCTATCATAATTCAACAGCTGGACCTTTTGTAATATTGAAAAGGAATTTTTCAACAATTAGACTAAAATAGTTCGTTTCCTTTTTACAGGATAGAAGAGAGTTAGTGGTCAGCCATGGAGGCAACTTGACGTCTATCGCTAGTATTGTGCCTACCGGAACAACGTTCAGCACAGGAGGCCGCCTTACACATACTCCTAATGAATTTCAACCGCCTTATTTCCCTCCTCCTTATAGTCTGCCACAGACGCAGCTTGATTTCCAGTCAGATCCTTACGCACATTTGAATAGCATCAATGCCACTACTCCTCAGAATTACCATCATCAACTGCATACAAGCCCACGCAGTCTTTTCAAAAGGGAGGATGAAGCATCTTTGCATTTGCAGACGAACATGCTGCCAGTATCGTACGCCGACACGACCCGCCGGACGGATGTTTCATCGTACGCTAGGCGGCCGGATATATTGGTGCATTCAGGGCATACCCTTACAGAACAGGACCTCATCACTCTTCAGAATACAGGAGCCTTACCCGTGCTGGACGACGGACAGGTAGGTTAAAAAAGCCTTCTTCAGTCATTGCTGGCTTAATAATCGTGATCATTAATAATTTAATAACTATTTAAATCACTTCAAATTTAGTATTTTTGGTTAAGATTTCAGTCTTAATCGAAATTTTCCGTGCAGCATTAGAATTGTTGCATCATTTGGATCTTTTTATTCTATTTATTTGCTGATGCTGTAGCGGATGTTAATATCTATAAATTGTAGAGTACAGTGGTACTCTACAATTAGTAGATGTAGCGGATGTTAATATCTATAAAGTACAGTGGAACCTGGAGATGCGAGTTTCATTCGTTCCAGCATTGAGCTCGTATAGCGAATTTCTCGTATCTAGAAACAATCTTCCCCATTGAAAATAATGGAAATCTATTTAATTCGTTCCGCACCCCCAAAAGTATCAACATAAAAATCAATTTTTCTAATAAATGACACTGGTAACTAATATAAGCGTAGTTTACCTTTATGATAGCTTCCGACACCGACTTTATCTGTTTTTCGTTAATCCACACCAACAACAGCTTTTAAAAGTTTTGGACGGTGGTTGGAAGTAACGATAACTCCTTTGCCTACATCAAATTTCTTAATTTCTTCCTTCGTCAGAATAGTGAAGATCGTCGATGTCGAAAAGGCCGTAAGTCTTCGCCAATTACATCATCTTACACCACGCTTATATTTATCTACGATTTCTTTCTTAATTTCAACGGCCATGGCTTCCTTATTTTTCTTTGCAGCACTATCGGAGGCAAAAATCTTCTTGGGAGGCATCGTGAAGTAATTATTTTCACGTTAAATGTAATAAACAATTAACTCACAAGCTCACACACACGTAGATCGAAGAAAACTGAGTGATCTGACGAGGCGATTCCCTGAGTCGAGCCGGATCGAGAAATGGCGTCACGCATATCAACAGCCTGGCTCATGTTCGTTACTCGAGACAATGCTCGTATTCAGGGACACATTTTTCACTCATACTTTCCTCGTATTTCGAATTTCTCGTATATAGAGGTGCTCGTATTTCAAGGTTCCATTGTAGTGTACATAACAGAATTTGCTACAGGAAGGATAGCAAAAGGATGCACAACAGATTTTGGGATTTTTGGTGCAATTTTTTTGTATATGAACAGCCTGACTAATCATTGCTAAGATAATGTTATAAAATCATTAAAACCTACGAATATTATTATTCCCAGCTGCTTACCAAATGTAGCTTTGTTTTTCCAAAGCATATCAGTAACAACGAGACTTAAGTTTTGAACATAAATGTCATCAAGTAATTAGATCATTTTTCTCAGAATCGAAAACAAGATGCGGTTAGACATCTAAATACAAACAGATATAGCGAGGTTATTTGTCAAAATGCCAATGAGGCAAAACCTAGAACATAAATCACGTAATGACCTTGTGTGTGGTAAACAAACTTCACGGATAGCAAATACGCTATAAAATGGTTAAATTATCGACGGTATTTTTTTAATAGTTAGGGCATAAAAAACGATAGCATTTTGAGCTAACTCAATTTGCTATTGAAATACTGCTAATAATCCCAAGCATTTACGTAAAACATTTGATGCTATTATAAAACCGAAATATCTACAGTTCGCTTGCGCAATCAGGAGGCAAACGTAAGAGTCACATTTTTAAGCATTAAGTTTAAGTTAGAAACTCAGCAATTTAGAAAAAAGAATAATGCGTTTTCTATTTTTATTTTTTTATTTAATACACGCAGAAAACTTTCAAAACTGCAGTATGTTTCATGTATGGTTGTTGTATTCAAATCTAACCAAACTTTAAAAAATTATTTTTTCTGATAGTTCTACTAAGTTAGAGGTTGCAGAAAACAAGACAAGCAGCAGTGAACCTAATTTTAGATTGGGAAAAGGAGCTAGAACATCAGGGATCTTCTAGGCGTGTAATCAGCAAATATGAAAGGAATTCAAGTTATTTGGATTAACTAAAAGGAATGTTTTCTATTTTACCATTTTTGACAATAGGGAGGAAATCACTCTGAAGTGGCGAAGAAGGTGTTGTCCTTCGTTATTCAATCAAGGTCATTATTTCCTTTGAAAGTGCTAAAATTTCTGAAATATTTTTGGCTACATCAAGCAAAAAAAAAAAATAAAATAAATAAAAAATAAAAAAAAAAAAAATAAAAATAAATATATATATATATATTATTTTAAGATTTGAAAAGGACTTAAAGATAGAAACTTCATTAGTTAAAGACTTAAAGAAATGAAGACTTTATAATGTCTTTCAATTAACAAATTTTGCGGCCTCACGATTGTTACCCGAGATGCACGAAAGTAAGGACGAGACTTCAGTCCATCAGAAATTCTAACATCACGAGGACATCCGTATTCAGTCTACATCACTATATAGATGTGGGTTCATTGTTTGACCACAGTTGTGAAACCTTGATTAGACAGTTTGCCCAAAGACATTCGACTTTTTCAGAAGGGTTTAGTTAGAAAGTCTCGCCGGAGAGAAAATAACTTGACAACGTCGAGAATATTCACTCCCTCAAGAATCGAAGTCTCAGTAAGTGGCGAAGTCACGCTTCCAGGTTCCAAGGCATCGCCCTCCTACCCTGTGTGTAGCATAGTGAAATAAATTTTAAGTATAACTCTTCTTTCGCTAGCATAGCATGGTACGAATCGTTGTTGTCTACCCTATTTAGCAAATAAATTGGTCCCAATGGCGCATGCGTATTTGTTGTCTAGATCACGTCTCTCGTGATCGAATTGTAATCGGTGAATCCAACTCGGTTGTGATCAATGATACACAAACTCGGCTCTATGAAACATTTTAGGAGTTCCGTAATTCTTTATTTGTAAAAATGTACTTTTATTGATTTTTATATCATTTTTAAAAGTTTCTGAAAATTTATTATTTAAAAATTTCCATATTCATGTTTTAAATCAATAAAACAACTAAAAGTAACCAAATTATTAGTTTTAAATGACACATGGTACTGCAGATAACGATTCGTGCAATTATAACACTGATAAACATTTACGAATCCATTTATTGAATCTAGTCGTAAAAATAATCTTTTATAAAAATTTGCTTTTCCTCGAAGAGTGGCTAACTGGAGATAATGTGTAGAGATGGAGATAACTGGAGATCTGTGTTATAATCAGTTAACTCATCTCACTCGTGACTGATGATACTACGATCTTTTAAACAAACGGGAAAATGTAGGAAAAGGGTAAGTTAGATATGTTAAGAATTCCCCTCCCCCAAAGAAATGCTTTAGTCAAAATAGTATTATTGATGATGATTAGTATAACAATACAGTTTACCAAACAGTTCAATGTACTGTTAGTTACATAGTTTTGATAAAAGTTCAAAATGATTTAAAGAGTATTTTATGGCTCTCGCCAAGTCAAACAGTTTAGAAAAATAGGTCAACAATTTTTATCCATTAGAGATTAAAGTTCAATGGCTACTAAATCCTTAGAAGTTTTTAAATATGTGTATAATCACATAATAATGTTGATTATTTATCTGAAAAAGATAACTTGCTAAATCATTTATGTTATAGTTAAGTTAACTGATTAAAGGAAGGCAACTCGAGGGCTGCCTGTCTATGCGAAGAGGTGCCTTCGTGGAGGACATTTTAAGGCAAGTTGGTTCATACCCACGTTATATATAGGCAAAAACCACTACTAAAATCGACCATGCAGCCAGTTCGTTCGCCAAAATTTGATCCCAGGTCGAACTACCAGTGTTCAGTCGCTTTACCGCTCGGCCGCTGATGGTCCTAATTTTACTACGAAATTCTTCTTTCAAATAACACGTTGCCAATATGACATCATGTATGCAGTCGACAGTAGATAGTGTTTGTCTGGCCTACAAAGACCAATTGCCATAAATGGAGCAGCACTTTTTTTTTTCCTAGTTGGCTACAGCTCGTCAAAACACAAAGATTAAGGTAAAAAAAGTGCCGATAGACTTGAGAAGTTCAGTATCACGAAGAAAGAAACTCTCATTAAGACTGCCTGAGCGCCTTTGTGAAGGCCCTTACCTAGTAATTGCCGACTTTCATAAAGGTGTCGGCACTTTTATAACATTTTATGGAATCATCCGAGTGACGGGACATAAAATTCCTTGCTTTTTGGACATAAAAATCCATTGCTTGGACATAAAAATCCATTGGAGTTAAAAATTAGATCTAACCGTTATGAAATTGTATCGAGCTAATGACGACGGGGTTAAGACGTTGAGTCTTATGCAATTACCATGAAGCTACCTTTCTATTTTTTTATCAAGTTTTCCAAATGTTTTTCTTCCTAACAGTTTATTTTTGCCCCCGTATGAATAAATAATATTTCATCCTTCTTAAACCATCCATATCATATAAAACAAAGTCAGGCGCCTCGGGAAGTTTCCCGAATTTTTCACAGCTTCATCCTGCTTCGTATATACTTCACTGATCAACCTGATATTTTGCGTGATATAACCTGATAAGGCTTTTATATAAGGGGTCCATGAAGTTTAGAAAATATTTCAAAGAGCCTTTCTTTTTTATCTGGAAAACTTAGGACTATTTATCTGCTCCAAGCGAATGCAAGTTGTTATGAAATACGGTTTTTCATATTGAATAAGCAAACATTTTATTTCATTTTACATACTTCAAATCTCTATGTTGCTGGCTGGCTCACATATATTTTAAAAATTAAATGGTTTTCTTAATGAACAGCAAAACATCTTAATGGGTGAACGGCTGCAAAATAGACATTTTCATGTTTGCTGTGTTAGTAAATAATTTTCTAATTAGCGAACCTTCTATTGACAGCACGTTCAATATATTCTATGAGCACGGTGAAATTTGTTCTGCGATGGGACTTACAGAGCTTAATTTCTTCCAAAAGAGTTTTGCTTGTCCAAGTGATTACCATTCCATCTTTTATTCATTTTGAGCTTCCCAGAATATCCAATATTCCAGCACCGATCATGTCAAAAATCCAGCAAGAATAAAAACATTG